TGTTTCCTTTTTGTTTACTTATTTCATTTCTTATTTCTTTTCTAATTCTTTTTTCTTCTGAATTTTTAGTTTCTATTTTTTCAGATATGGAAATTTGTTTGAATTTTCAAAAAATGTTCAAAAGTTCAAAAAAATCCCTACTATTAAATTTTTTCACAATTTCGACAATAATATTGATTCAAGAAAATGTTCGCATATTTCAAAAAGTGTTCTCATTTCAAAAAATATTCTAGTTTTAAAATTTCGTTACCAAACTAAAAAATGTTTGCAAATTTAAAATAATGCTATTTCATAATTTGTTCACATACGCAAAAATGTACCTTTTTCATAAAATGTCCATGTTTCCAAAAAATGACCGGCTTTTTCAAATTTTGCTCACAAATTCAAAAAAGTTTCCATTTAAAAATATTAGAAGATTAAAAATTTGTCCACATCTTTAAAACTTATTCAAGATTCTAAAAAAAAATCATGTTTAAGAAAAAAATAAAAAATGTTGCGGTTCTCAAAATTCGTTCACAAATGAATGTTCCTTTTTTCAAAAGTTTTCACAAATTGAAAAATTATTCGCATTTTCTTAAAACTTGTTTGTGATTGTCAAAAGTTGATAGTAATTTTTAAAAATGTTCCTGTTTTTTCAAGATTTCTTCACAATTTCAAAAACATTTCCTGTCTTCAATGTTTTTTCGCAATTCAAAAATTTGTTCACATTTTCTAAATGTTGTTATCAAAAATTATTGTAGTTTAAAAAATTGATGAACATTATAAATTTTGGTTACAGACCCAAAAAGTTGCTAACATGTTTGTAAAACATGTGTGTGTTCTGTCAAAAATGTTTGGACTTTCAAAAAAATATATTCAGAGTTTACAGGAAAATATTGAAAAAGGAAAAATAATCTTATCTGTCCATGTGACTAGTTCTAAAGTATTTGTATTGCCTTTTCACCATCAACATGAATCAGTATTTTCAGTATGGTTTGTTCGGAATCCTTTTTTCATATTTTCCCCAAAAAAATTCTTGTTTTCTAAAATGTATTTAAACAATAGAAAATCTCTACAGTACAGTAAACATGATGTTGCAGTGAATATCCCACTATAGTGAGATTTTTAAATTTAAGTCACGTTGTCATCTGTCAAAAGCGGCCACACGTAGGTTTTTCTTTTAGACAAAACTCGCTCCACTTTATTGATCACAGAGCTCTCCGAAATAGGCTGGCGGATAATGGCCCATCACAAGGGACGAGACTTGCCTGCTCCCCTGCCGTGTGCCCATGCGTGCTCCCACGTACGTGACTTGTTTTGATTGGAACAAAATAAGGCCTGGCCCCACCCCCTTAAAATCAGGGGGGGGGGGAGATTATTAGATTAGAAAAAGAAAAGGAAAAAAAACAACCGCAGGATGAAGTGGGAGCACGGATGGGAGCATAGGAAGGGAGCAGGCAAGCCGGATCCCATCACAAGGCCTTTAGTTGCTACTAGTAAGCGTGCACGTGCACGCACATATAACCGTGAGAAAAAAATCTCATGTATAAACATATTTTTTGCATGTATTACGTACGATGTGGATTCTGCAAAAAGGAAGTTAAGTACTTCCAGGAAATGGAGAGAAGGGATTCCAGCATGATATAGTAATGCTAACAAATATGGTGAAGAATTACATTTGTTATCAGCCTGAAACTCCAAAAGAATTGTGGACTAACATGGAGCAGGGCAGCCTAGAACCAAACATAGTTCTCTGGCAAAAAAAACAAACAAACATAGTTACTGCTAGTTGTGGCTTATTCATAGAGATCTTCCACGCCTTGTGAAGAATGAAGTCAGTAAACCAGTGAAAATAGAAAATGTAGGAGTGGTGGTTTTGGCATAGATAGTTTGTTTCATAGTAAGGTCCGGCACAAAATGTGGTCAGGAAATTCACCTCATTCATATTTGGTTAGTTTTGCATACATTGAATTCATCACGTTCTTATTTGGTTAGCTTTGTAGACATGTAACCAATTCATGCACAAATGCCGGTGACAAAGAACACATGAAATAAATAAATTAAAACATATCACATATCATCTGAAAATTGCATTATCTAATTGAACTATAAGAACTGACCGTAGTGGGCCTTTTGTCAAAATGACACACCAGAGTCGTCATCTAATCTCATGGAACCTCGTAACTTTAAAAAAAGTATATATGGCCATAAAATATATAATTTGAAAATTGTATTATTTCATTGAAGTACAGAAACTGCGAATAGTAGGATGCTACTGGCTTTATAAAGCCGACATGACACTCCTCCCAAATTATGATGATCTGTTGGCATAAACACCTTTTACTTTTGTTTCGTCATTCATATCCCTCGCATGAATGATGAACCTGCATATATTGCTTTAAGAGTGATGCTTGGAAATGAAGGGAACATGAAATCTTGAATATTGTTGCCGATGCCATGACTCGTTTATGAAGATGTGCCATGGTCAATCGAGTTCTGGTATGACTCCATAGTTCACACTTCTCCCTACGATCCCAAGTCTGAAACGCACAAAATAAGGAATCCATGGTCCACACCTGCACATCAGTTTTTACACAGGACTAACTGGAGCTTGTGCCTGATTCTATTTGATTGCTAAAGTAACATAGCAAATAAAATGAATACGAGATGAGGAAAAAAATACCCAAGCTTGCACTTGTTTACCATATATTGAGGTGCTAGAGATTACAGTATAAACTGTCCAAGAAAATAGCATAGAAAGGTTGCTCAAAGTAAATAGTATGGCACAATGTCATAGAGGAATTTCACATAAAAATATAGAAAGCCCTGCAGTTCAGTTTCTATGCTTCTCTAATACTGAAAGCAATAGCCAAATATCACTGTATAGTTCTTTCAGAGTAATAAAATGGCGGGCTCGGTTCAATATCCAATCCAAATGCACGCGTCTGACTCAGAATTGGTACATGATTATGATATGAACACATGCATGTAACCTTAGTTGTCCAAAACACAGGGGGTTCATGCCTATTAGAAATGGAATTGGCAAGATGTAGAGCCGCTTACTTGCCGACACCTTCAAATGCGACATAAAAAAATTACAGAATTGTATCTTCCTGAAACAAAGCTGCAGACAATACTGAAACAAGAAATTAGGCTCCCATTCGATAGTACCTTTGCTATTTTTCTTGTTATGCTTATCGTTTATTGGTATTGTATAGGCTCCCATTCGGGGACATACAAAAAAATATCTGAGTACGCATCATCAGCATTTTATTAAAGCAAAATACCAACCTTGCAACCTAAAAATATCTTTGAAAATATTCGATTGATTCATCAATAGCTTCCTTTTGCCAGATCAAAAAGATCCCTCAAAGATGCAGCTGAAACAGGTGATGCGCTCTCGGATTGTTAAAAGGTGTGGACTGCATAAACATCAGCACCATACAATTTCCATTTCCATGATCATGTCGTCTAATAGTTACTACCAAATGGATTAAATGATACACGGAGCTTGGTGATATGGTGGAATACCTGGAATAGCAGCCCACAGTTTATGCTTGCTCCCTCATGATATTAGACAGGAACGTGGCAGTCGAACATTTCCCCTTAGTGCCGGTGATATGGACAGCCTACGAACACAATTACTTGCAGCCAAACATCTTTCTCTTCTTCTGGCGGGCATTCATATATGTATCCACAACACCTTCTCCTGCTCTCCCTGCCAGTAAAAAGACAACAAGTACTTGATCATATTTATGTGCAGTTTGACATAAAACTGATTTGCAGCCAAACACCCTTCTCTTCTTCTGGCGGGCATTCATATATGTATCCACAAGACTTTTCCCCTGCTCTCCCTACCAGTAAAAATACAACAAGGACTTAATCATATTTATGTGCAGTTTGACATAAAATTGCTTAGCCAAGTCTGTACCTATCATGTGAAGAGGACATGCGGTGGTATGCCCCTATTGAACCCGTGGTAGAGGACATGGCAGAGGTGGCCGTGGTGACTGAAGATGGCAACGACCCTGTGGTAGAGGACAAGCAGGAGGATGCGATGTCCGGACAACAAACCCTCCTCAACTTCGCAGGGCAACAGGATGGAGGCAGCTGAGTTGCAGACAACAACGACTTTCGCGTCCTCGGCTGTGCGGAAGAATGGCAGCGGCGGCATCTGCATCACAGACTGCCCGGGAGAATTAAGAAGGGGGTAGGCATGTGTTCATCACCGTTCGTCGCCGTCGCCGATTTAGTCGGGAGGAGGGCCGGCACTCGCGAGGGAAGGTCCGGCGGAGCTTTAGTCCATGGCCATGGTGTCCTGCAGTGTGGGAACGGAGAGAGGGAGAAAGATTAGTGAGGAGAGGGAGAGAGAAGGGAGGAGGGCTCTGGGCACGGCTGACCGGCAGAGGAGCTCGACGGCGGCGTTCGGAGGCCTGGTGGGCTCGGGGCGGATCGGGGGTGGGGAGCGCACGGGCGGAGCGGCGGCGCAACGTTGTTGCTGCGGATCCCTTCTTTCGCCGTTCTTGTTGGGGCCTAAAGCCAGTGCCAGGACTCGGGAGCCACTTTCGCGTGGACCAAACCGAAAATCAGGGATTCCTAAAAAAACGAAAATCAGGGAGTTGCCGCTGGGCCGCGGGATCGGCGGCCGCGGAGCGCTCGCACGATCGGCAGACGCGGCGTCTGCTAGGCAGAACATTTAATCTAAGACGTTGATCTGGCTGACAGATTATTGATGTAATATAGGCGATAGGATGTGTTTAAGTCAATTTGATCGGATGGTTCTGCTTATCCTGTGTACAGTTTGTTGTGTGGCTTTAGACAAACACCCGTTTGCTCTTTTAATAGTAGTATAGAAGAAGTATAGATAGGTGGGCCCAGCTCAGCTGGATCTTGCGAACAATTCCAGAATCTGAATTATTCAGCCTCCCACACGATCCAGGAAGGCACGAAGTGCAGGCAAAGGGGAATTCCAGTCCGGCCGCCGCCACGACAGACCGGACCGGCGAGAGCGAGAGACGGAGATGGCGCTCACCAACTTCATCGTGACGGCGGCGGTGGTGGGCGGGGCGCTGCTTCTCTTCACCACCGACGTCCGCAAGTCCGGTGCTGTCTTCCGCCGCAACGCCCGCCAAATCCGACAGTGGCTCGAGGAGGACAACGCCTCCGCCGCATCCAAGTATCGCCACCAAACCGCCCGTTCTCTTGCTTGCCTCCCTGCTTCTGTTCTTGTTCTACTTAGGACTTAGATGTGGATGCTGATTTTAGCACGCCTGTTTATTGGACTAGGGTTCGCCGTCTAGGTTCAAGCATGTTAGTCGTTTTAGAATCAGGGAGAAAAAGTAGATGTTTGGGTGATCCTGTTTTCCTACTGTCTAATCTTGGTGTAGCTGTTCGAGTAGACGTTCTTAACTAATTTGCAGCAACTGTTTTGAGGGGGGATTCTAGTCAGTTAATATTCTTGAGGCAACCATGCTGTGATAAAGCTGATTGATTGGTGGATTTGAATTCTGGGTGGCTAGGGGCATTGTGAGGAGCTAGGGACCAAGACAGATGAGGTTGATTTGTCTTGATCCTGCCAAAGAAATTTACTTCTATTCTGAAAAACAGAAGCATGTTTTTAGAAGTTCAGGGTTAAATTTCCAAATGTGAGCTTTATAGCAAAGCAAAGAGGATCAAGACAAGCATAGTCTGAGACTTCTCCGATCCACTTGGGTTAGTTGGTGCTCTTGCAAGCTTTTTGCCCTTTCAAGTGATTTTGCTGATTGGCCTGATATATCCAAAGGTTATACGTTAATGGCTCAAGGGAAATAATCAAATTAATGCTTTAGGAAATGACAACAATGATGTATTTCGTCATAAGTCTGTGGAAAGAATTCTAGATTCAGAAGTGTCCCCACATATTGTGCCACATCATCTAATTGGTAATAGCTGTCTGATTAACATGTTACCCACTGTCTCATTAACATGTTACTCACATTGCATTGCTAAAACAACTGGTACTCTGCTGAGTTTGAGCTGGGTTGAGCTAGGCTTTCGTTTATGTGGTTCTGTCTGGTTAGACTAAGCTAGATAAGGCTTGGAGGGATTTGTGCTGTCCCTGGTCTTTGATCAAATGTCATATTACTCTTGCAACACCACATGCTAAATACATGTTGGTGCCTACAGAAAGAAACACTCAATCTGTTACATTTATAAAGAAACTGTGTTTCGAGAAATTTCTGAATTATCACCTAAAATATTTCTTGTGCTCTATGGTTAGTATTTGAAATTTTTATCCACTTCAGTATTAACAATTAGGGATTTAAATTAACTCCACTTATCATACTTAAAATGAGCAATTAATCAGTGTAGGAAAAGATATGCAGCTCTCCTGCATGACCGAGAAAAAAAATGTGTAGGAAAAGTATGTATGACTGTACCATACACTTTGGCTATCTTAAACCTATTCTAATTTGTGGTCCTGATATAGTATTTTCTTAGGTCTTAGTTTGGCCTTTACCGGCAAATCTACATTTACACTCTGCATATGGCAACATATTTATGTAATTACACTGTGTAAGTGTTTGACTGGTCTCACTTCTTTGTTAACCATAATTATTGAATTATTTTAAGCTATCCTTTTAGCGAAAAACAGTAGGAAAGGCCCTACTATGCCATTTTATATTTTATAAAGGAGGGTTATATGTACCTACATATGGGATGGGAAAAAACCGAAAAAATAGTTCAATTGTTTACTAGCTATAAAACCCATGATTGCATTCCATCACTGAGGCTAGTTCTTACTCTGTTTTAAGCTACTTGTACATCAACTCTACTTACTTTTCATATAATTGCATCAGCTTGTAAAAACACATCTAAATATTACATTATCATGCTGTTCATGTTCTTTTTTGAATTGTTTGGGGGGGGGGGCTCCCCACCTGAATTGATCTCTTAAAGAAAATTTTGACCCAGTTTATAAGGTAGATCGGTTCAAAAACCAGACATGGCAGCCCAGATTATAAGTAAAACTAGGCCAAAAACCGCACAAGCGACGAAGCCTCGTCGACCACACAACACAAGGCTACAGCCGCACCGAACACACCCCCAAATCCGAAGCGCTGCTCCGACGCCCCCCGCTTGCAGGCGAGCCGCAACGTCGCACGGGATGAACGCCTTATAGCACTCGCTACATGAGACAACCGCCCGCAGATCACAAACGATGTGCCGAAAATCTGAGGCCGCTGCCTCGACGTACCAGCCAGACCGACCAGAAACCCAGATCACAAAGCAGCCGGCATCCACAAACCCAGATCACAAAGCAGCCATACAAACTGCCATGAACCAGCCTGACCAGAAAGCAGCACCAAGAGAAGAGAGATTGCTGCACGGTGATGCGCATAGGCAGCACCACCGGACCCCAAGAGGCATTGGCAGCCGAGCACGATGACCCGCATTGAACATGAGGACATGGATACACCAGCGATGCCTTCAAGAAGGGAATGGATACACACGAGTTCCGTCATGGCTGAGCTTTCGCTCGAATCGTTGTCCAGCACAAGTAACCAAGAGATCCAGCAGCCGAAGCCTGCTTGGAGTAGTATCTCCACGGTGACGCCTTCAACAAGAAAGTAGTGCCACGGATGCTCTCGAGCGACTCCGGAGGCACTGCCGCTGCCACCCAAAAACTTCTTCTCCACCACCATGGTTTTTGAGTCGCTGATTAGTCGCTGTATAGTCGCCGAATAATCGCCAAGTCGTTTTCCAAAAATCAGGGCGACTCGCGACTATACAACGACTTTCGTCGACTATACGCTGAGCTTCAGGGCTCGCGGCGACTCGCCAAGTCGCGACTCAAAAACCTTGCCCACCACCAAATCCCTCCACCGCTGGAGGAGGCTGATTTACGGTGGACGGCGGGGGCGGGGGCGTCTCAGCCGGTGCCTCTCTCGTTTCCTTGGCTCTCTTCCATCAGTCTCCTCTCCCCCGACCCTCTCCACCCGGCTTCTTGTCCTATGTCGACAGCCTCAAATCCAGTCCGCCCTCGTGTGCAGCCTCCCTTGGCCCGCCGACGCTGCAGGTTTCCCGCGACCTGGGGCCGACGTGCGGAGGTGTCGGGCGCGTCCTTGCAGGCTGCAAGGATGCCTCAGCCTGTTGCCGCACGCCTCCGGCCCGTGCCTGGGGGCGTCAGTGAGGACGACCGCGTCCCGGCCTTGGCTTCTCTGCTGCGGTGCTGGTGCACTCCTGGAGAAATTCAAGCTCAAATCCCTTGTCCGAGCCGACTGTCGCGGCATGGATGCACCGCTAACCTCCATGGAGGCGTGGCTGTGGAGTTGCACCTCTGCTCTCACCGTTCAGTCAGGCCTCATGGAGCTGCTGCTCTGCAAGACCTTGCTCTACTCAACCCGAGGTGCCTGTGCCCCGACAGTGGCCATTCTGCTTCGGCCTGCTCAGGTTTATGTCTCCAGGAGAAATCCTATGATTTAGTATTCCAGATCGGGCGACGGTAGCAGGAGGCGGCTTGAAACAAGAGAGATCATGCAGTTCATGTGTGATGTATCTGTATGCTACTCTTAGTTGGCCTTAAATCATTTTTCGGGACAAATAGTTTGCTTTGCAGCAGCATGCAGCAAAAAAATAATAATAATAAAAAATCCTCGTTCCTCCTACCACATGATGTGTTCCGGACAATGCCATCTTCACCTAATTATCGAGATGATCTTACTGAACTAATGGTCATTGGTTAATATGCATAGCATTTGTTGTACTTGGGTTGTTTAGGAATAATAGTTCTATTTATTGTTTACTGCAATTGATCGTTAAATTAAACAATGCTGCAGGTCTGCAAAAGAAGCAGTTCCACCTCCCAAGAAGCTGGATACAGAGGTTCCCAAGGACAAGCCAAAGGATCACTGAAATGGACAACAAAAATATGTTTTCATTCTGAGAGAAGTATGTTCAGCCAAAGGAGCACTGAAATGGACCGCTGGATCGCATAGATATAACTTTTGTCGAAGTTAGTCAACTTGTTCTACCCTTGCTGAGTGATAGAGATCTGTAGCTCATAAATACATGCATGACGAATATGTTTCCATTTTGTTTCGAGTATTTTGGCGCCTGTGTAGATGCAGAATAAGAAGGGAGCAACCAATTGGCAGTTTTTCTTCACGGCAACCTAAATATATAGAGCTCTCTTTTAAGCCTTCTGATGACGTGTGGATGTTCTATCCAGTCCATAGAGGAGAGAGTTCCTACATGGTATCTTCCAATATTACTACAATCATCCATCCATAATTGACGCTATAGACCAGGTACTGCCTTGAAATGTTACTACAATTATCCATCCAAATTGCAGTTTGCACAGCTGCCGAGCTGTGGTTTGTGGGCGTCCTCCAGATCAGTTTGAACTGTGGTTCATGTATCTTGTCATAACTGATTGAACAAATTATGGAGGACCCTCGGCTCTTGAGATCGACACGATGACCTTTGATTGGTGGAGAAGTAGGGGCAGCAGAGCAGACGTACCCCTCCCTAAGGTTTTTTTTTTTTTTGAAAAGGTGAGAAGCAAGGACTGCAGTCCAGTCGAGGCCATGAGTGAAGTGTCCATCGGAGCTGTTGGTTTCAGCTATAGGCCTGCAATGATCACGGCATTTGTTGGGCAGCAAAGGTGTGCATGATCCCAGGATGATATGTATTGATATGGACAAGACCCGCACGTGAGCGGTGAGATGAGGCTGACCGTCGTGGCAGGGATACTGTTGGAACAGCAAAATCTGATGAACTTAAAGGCCGTCGTCGGCACGGAGCAGAGGACTTGTCCTTGAAGCGGCGAGTTGCGCACAGTGAATCGGGTGGCTCTGGCTCCACAAGCACGATGTTTGACTAGATGATCTTGCGGTCAGAAAAGCTAATGTTTAGCTAGGTTGCCAGGGCACTTACATTTGCCCCTTCGTTTTTTTTTTTTTTGAGGCAAACTTGCCCCTTAGTACTCAGCTAGGGTAGTACTATCAGTGTAGGTTAAGTTCTTAGTGTAGGTTAAGTTCCAGGCTTTCCCTCAACAGTGACATCATCACTGTGCGCATGCTGCAACGAGAAGTTGACATCATCACCTTGCACGCGCGCCCTCTGCCCGACACCTCGATCACCTTACTACGTTGAGCTCGCTTCGTAAACAGCAGGGGAAAGAACACGTATAGTACTACTTCCTCCGTTCGTAAATATAAGTCCCTCGGAAGAGCTCGGTGGTCCTGATTCGGTGCAGGCACCTTACCATCCTCCAGAACTTTCCCGCTGTCCGGGCTTCATTCCCAATAAAATATTTAGGACTACCTCTCTCGGTCTGGCAACTAAAAGTTCAGGATTTCCAATTCCTCGTGGACAAGGCCGCTTCCAAACTTGTTCCATGGGATGGGAAAAATATCACAACCATTGGTCGGGCTGCCCTTGTCAAGTCTGTACTATCTTGTCCACCAAGCATCCTCCACAATGTCAACAAGCTTCAGAGAGCTTTTCTTTGGGCGGGGACAGATAGGACTACCGGCGCGAAGTGCAAAGTTAATTGGAAATCTGTATGTCGACCGGCCGAATATGGAGGTCTTGGGGGGTGCTAAACACTCAAAAAATTGCAAGGGCACTTCGCTTGCGTTGGCTTTGGTTCGAATGGAAGGAACCCACCAAGCTATGGGTTGGGACCGGCAACCCATGCGACGAGATGGACAAAAATCTTGTCTATGCTTCAACGAGCATAATCGTTGGCAACGGTGCGCGCACGCCCTTCTGGGACTCCCCTTGGGTGCGGGACCGCAATCCAAGAGACATCGCACCGCTTATCTGTGCCGCTTCCTCTCGGAAGACATGGAATGTTGGGGAAGCCCTCCAGGATGATGCTTGGCGTCACAAGATCAAGGTCACTCCCAACTTCACCTTCGAACATGTTCGACAATTTATTGAGCTTTGGTCCACCATCCGCGACTTCCCTCTTGAGGTGCACGCCGAAGACGACATTGTGTGGAAACACACAGAGAGCGGGATTTACAGTGCCAAGTCCGCCTACTTGTCCCAGTTTTTTGGCATGATCCGCTCACCCATGGAGCTTGCAGTGTGGAAGGCCTGGGCCCCGCCCAAGGTCAAATTTTTCGCGTGGTTGGCCATGCAAAATAGGGTATGGACTGCTGACCGGTTGGCAAACCGGGGGTGGCCCAATTGTGGGCTTTGTCCTATTTGCAAGCGCGTGTAAGAATCCATCGACCACCTCGTCTTCGGATGCCGGTACACTACTAGACTTTGAGAAATGATAAAAGATTGGCTCCAGCTCGAAAGCATCAACACTTCCACTTGGCACTTGGCACGGTCAGCCAAAGAGTGGTGGATCGGGCTCTCCGACTCTACCATACCGAATAGGAAGGCCATGGCTACCCTCTCTGTGCTCACCTTTTGGACAATCTGGAATGAAAGGAATGCTCGCATCTTCGAACTCAAGAGTGCCCCACCAACGGTTCTACTAGCTAACATCAAGATTGAGGCTCAAACTTGGGTCACGGCGGGTGCAAAGAAATTGGGATCTATCATGTCGCGAGAGTAGGCCTCTTGTAGTGGTGTTGTAACATGATGGGTGTTGTAACACAAACATTAAACTCCTTTTCCCCTCTTAATTAATGAATGAGACAAGTCTTTTGCCTTCTTTCAAAATAAAATAAAATAATATAAGTCTCTCTAGAGATTTCAATATGGACTACTCTCAGAGCAAAATAGATGAATCTACACTCTAAACTATACCTATATATATTCGTATATAGTCCATATTAAAATCTTCTAGAAAGACTTATATTTAAAAACGGAGGGAGTACTATGTACGAGCAGAAGAGTTTTCCTCCTGCTGCAATTAGACACCAACCGTCCGTCCGTCCATCGGCAACCAGTGCCGATCTCCCCCCTCCATCCATCACACGAGCGGCTCGATTAACCACACCCCAACCATCCATCACTGGATTTTTTTTTAAAAAAAACCATCCATCATTGACCCGCTGTCCTCGCGGCCGGACCGGAGGAGATGGGGCGACGGTTCTCGGACGGACGGGTGGACCGACCGACGCATTCATTGATTGATTGATCCGCCTGCTTCCTCTGGCAACCAAATCTACGTCCCTGTCGCCCGTCCGTGCCCAGCGAGCGAGCGAGCGAGCGGCCATCAATCAACCACAATTTCTCGCATTAATGCACCCGAACCCAATCATGCCGGCGTCGCGTCCACGCAGTAGTACGTACGCTCCCGCCGTACGCGCGTCCGTCGATCGGCCGGCACCGTGCACGGCCGGAGCCGACGGCGGCCCGGGCCGGCCGGCGATCTTCGGTCGGCTCACACAGCGTGTACGCTCGCTCGCGCGTTTTAATCTGGACGTGCAACGGTGGGGAAAAGACTCCGGCCACCTGAGCGTACGCTGCTCCGTTCCTTTCGAAATTTCTGCTCTTTTCTCCGTGCTCGACGGTGGGGAAAGATTGCGTCCGTCCTGGCGGTCCTAGCGTACCTACCGACTGTACCGCTTTCGTTTTGGTTGCCAGCCCCATGCATGCAGGCAGCAGCGTCTCCCTTCAGCGGTTGCTTGCTCCATCGATCAGCTAGCCACGATAATTGAGTCCATCAGTGAACAACTTAGTTCCTGTTGCTAATTAATCACTTCAACTGGATACTTACGAACTGATGATTGATCAATACTCCCTCTGTAAACTAATATAAGACGTTTTAACTCACTAATATTAGTTTATAAAATGAGTAATTCGCCAAAAAAAAGACGATGATGATTGATACGCCCGACCGACAGGTGCAACCAACCCATGTCTACTTAGAAATACTACTGTACTGCAATTGATTGTACCAATCCTGTAAAAACTAGCAGCAGTTGCTCTTGATACATGCTATTTTTAACAGAAAACTTTCCCCGACATGGCATCAATTGGATTCCCCAAAAGGTGGGGCAAAATCAAAAGAGCCACGCACAAGTTGCAGGTACATATGCCAGCCAGCCGTGAGTGAGTGACCACACTCTTGTACCGGGCCAAGTGTATGCATGTACGTACTATGCATCTCTTCTTCTTCTAGCCCACATGCATATAGCCATGTGTGTATGTCCAGATATTTACCAATATATGCATTCATCCATGTATGTATGTATGTATGTTTCTCTTATGTTTAGTTACAGATGGAAAGGAGAAAAAATTGGTACACCAGGACTAAAACGGACAAGAAACAGAACATGGAACAGAACCGGAGAACCAAAAAAAGAGGTGACTAAAACAAATCTATAACATACACTTCCTATCTTTCTTTTCCTGTATACAGATTTTCCTTAGCCCCCCCAACAATAATGCCTACCGAAAGGAATTAATCTAGCTAAATTAAGAATCATCTGAGGAAGAGGAAGAAGAAAATGAAGATGATGATTTGTCTCGTATTAATATATTCCCATCCCATGCATTCCACCACCTCCAGAGACACCATGCAAGTTTATCTCTCTAGATCTCTCTCTTCTCCGGTGCTTTCTTTCTTTCTTCTCTCTTTGAATCTCCTCAGTGCTCCAAATAATGCAATGCATGCATGAGCCATGAATGAATAATCAAGATATATGTGTGGGTAGGCATCAACAACCATTGTAGTCTCTCAAGGAGAACCGGCCGCTGCCGTCCGGCCCCTGGTTGCCGGCGCCGGCGTGCTGCAGGCCCAGCGTAAGCGACACGTTGCCGGAGACCGAGCCGGTCGTGGCGGGCCCGTACCTCATCCTCACCCCGGGCTCGAACCTCCCGTACAGGTCGTCCGCGGCACCCACGTGCGCGTCGCCGCCAAGGAGCTCCGCCGGATCAAGGCCGACGAAGGCGGCGTCCGCCACCGAGGGCCCCGCGCCGGGGTCGAGCTTATGGGGGTGGACGCCGGACATCCCGTGTTCTTGTTGGCCGTACCTGCCGTCGCCGTGCTGCATTACTACTTGCTGCTGCGGGTGCTGATGCGCTCCGGTGGTCGTCGGGGAGTGCAAGTCGTCGGCGCCAGAGGGGTCGTTGCCGGACTCGGGCCCGCCTCCGCCGCCGCCGGCGGAGGAGCCCTCGAGCTCCTTCGTCTCCTGCTGGTACATCTCCTCGATCATGGGCTTCCACAGCCGGACGCGGGCGTTGATGAACCAATTCGAGACCTGGAGTTAATCCAAAAGAAATTTACCAGAGGAATTATTGCAGGCATAGGGAGGGTCCATAGAGCAGTGGCGCCATGCGTGCATGCATGCATGCATGTGTGCAGCGACGTGTAGGGTAGCTAGCTATAGCTGCCTTTGTTTAGCAGTCCACATTGTCATTTTCAGTTTTTACCCAGCCCTTATTTGTCCTGTTTCGTTTCTATCCAATGATTTCGTAGTTCCTCTGCAACATGATTTTTATTATAGTACTAGATGTTTATGCATGTACTGTCTCTGCCCATGATTAAATGGTAAACGGAACTATTCGCAAAAAAATGGCAAGCAACTCTATCATACTGCCAGGCTCTCCTAACATTATTTCTTGACATGTATGCCACTGGAAATTAGATAGAAAAACATGCTTAAAACTAGATTTCTTGCTCCAACTATACATCTATAATTCCTGGATAACCATTAAAAAAAATCCTTCTATGCATAGCCTCCCATATTTTTTAAAATACTACATACGCAACAGTCAGTGCATATTGTTAGAAAAAACGAGAGACATTTTAGAATAATCACATAAACTCGTACCGGCTTTTTGAAGATTCAATGGGCAGTTCTAAATAATACAAACAAAACAACAACAAATTTTAGCACTAGATCATGGACTTGCATGACCCATCCAAATAACGAAAAACTAATTCTGACGACAATTTTTCATTTCAGTGATCTTACTTTCACTTTACTTATCAGTCTCCCCACTCACATATATCTTAGTTTTTCATTGGATCGCTAAAATGCTTTTGAAAGGGCAAGATCATGCCAATTTAGGTGTGAATTCTACATGGCTTTTGGATATGCGATGAGTCATAAGAAATATTGCGTTATGTCCTTAGTTATTGGGTTGAACGCGCATAATGCCAGATACATAATAGTATGCTTTGAGTAAGATGAGCTAATTTTCTCACTGGAGAGTCACACATTATCATGACAAAATGGCTAACGTAATTGTATAGGTCGCATGTATATGTTACATCAAACATTTTTTGGGTGGGTTAAAGCAACTAGTTCTATTGATACAAATTTGCACTAGTTGGAATCATATTAAGTCCAAAAAATATCCGTTGAAAACAAGATGGACGGTTTAAAATTCGACCATAACTTGGTAGCAGTGGGACCAGGTCTATGGAGAATAGATAACTTAGTGCATTTTAAAACATGCATATATATTATTGAAACTTAGGGATCCATTTTGGAATCTATTAGTTCTGGTGAGTATTAAAAATAATTTTTCTTTTGCTATTTTTGTGGTACTAGAAATTGTATATTCCTCGGTCCTGCAGTTTATTTATCATTTTTGTTAACTTTGTGTTGCTATCTCATAGTTGCAACCTAAGTGAAAAAAAGGGTTTTCTATCTTAAAAAGAGGTCGTTAACTTGTTAAGTACCCCAAGGCTCCTAGCTACTTCAATTATTTGTATAGCGAATTTGGAGAACAAAGGCAGCTAGCTAATGGTCCACAAAAAATTAGATAAACTGAAAGAGACCAGATTGAGCGTGTTGCTTCAAGATGAAGCCACATGCAGTTGGGCAGTTGGTCGCATAGAAAGTACTGTAAGTTTAGTTGCATATTGATTAAGTGTTTGCAGACGCATACACGATTTCAACAATGTTGATGTAATCAAAGCCTTAGAAAAAACAACAATTAATTGACTGAGAAAGTTAGACCGGATGATAAATTTAGAATCAGAGATTCTCCGTCTAAATCAAAGTAGGTTCACCAGTCAGTTTCTAGCTATACGTTTTTTTCGATAAGGTTCTAGCTATACGTGAACAAGCTAGATGGGTTGCTTGGAATAAACGATGTACCTACTGGCCGGAGCCGGACATAATAAAAGTGTATGTAAATAAAAGTACGGTGCTAACTAGGGGAGGAGTTAATTAGATCCTAGATTAGCTATACTCTTATTCAGCATGACAAGTTTGACAGTCACCGTCAGTTGACTAACCACATTCAGGTTTTATCTGGATGAAGGGTTTTCCTATGTGAATCTTTGGGAGGGTAAACCTATGTAGAGCAAGATCGATTAGCATGCACTGACTCTTTTTTTAAGAGTAGCATAGACCACAGGTTTACATGCACATAGTTTGTTCACGAGTCCCGGAAGGGGTAACGCGCGACAAAGGGAGCTGAGGAGGGACAGGGTTTGCGTTGTCGCATTGGGCAAACACCAAACGAAATTTTTTGTACCAAGAGGGCCATGGGTTAATTAGGACATGCATGAGGGGGCACCTGTGAAGGGACCACGTCCAGGAAGATACAAAAGAGAGAGATAGATGAACTGAAAGCTACGCAGATTCTCCAAAAAACTGAAAGATAAAAGTAAGCATATATACGATCGAACAGCAAGAATATTGGGAGTACCCTTCGAACATATACATGCCTAATATATATGTGGACAAGCATACGCCGTCGAAAATACTGCAATAAACCCGCAAAATTAAACATGGTATGCATTGAAATAGATAGTATTGCATACCGGTGGTCCATACATATGAGATGTATTAAATATAAATTAATCTGATCAATTTATCTTGAAATTTACATTCACTAGTAGTAATGATGTCAAAATGGACTAAGTTCACTAAAAAAATCAGTTTAAACCGACTTTTTTTTTACTTTTGATTTAACATGCATGGGTATTTTCATTTAAATGTTCCAGAAATTATTATACTTTACCAGCATTTGCTGGGACCATTTTGAGTGCGTGGAAAAATAGAAACATCTTGTTGTGCAATTTAGATTTTAAAAGAAGTGGCATTAGAGATTTATCTCTCAATGTATTACTGAATTTTAATTTCTCTAATTTATTGTCACACATAATATATGTTAATTATACTATTATAAATATCCATAATCCTATATTATATCTAAGCAAGCAATCCCATTTAAATGCACATCCAAATCATCCACATCATCAACTGCATGCAACCCTTCCACCTTCCATTTTTCAATTTTCACCACATGCAAGCCCTCCACATCATTAAGCACATGCAAGCCCTCCACATATTTTTTTTGAGTAATAAATAATTGAACTTGAATGTCACATGGCAATATAACATGCATATCCACCCTCCATTTACCTCTAGGTTTTCTACCATTTATACAATGAGAATGTGGTGCAATACTATTATATTCTAATTGTAATGTTGATAATTTTATTTCTGTAAATTTCTACATCAGTGCGTGGTGTGTTATCTAGTTATCAAAAAAATTAAACCGCAATATAATAATTTTAAAAAACTTTTGCACTATGAATTTTAGTAATAGGGGGAAAAGGTTCAAGTCATGGTAACATTCAAAATTAAGCACAAGAAAAAAAATCCTAAGAAAAGCAAAGTTGCATGCCATAACACCCCCCAACCCTCCTAAGCCTTTTCACACACAATTGGCTGTCAGACACCCGCCGACACCCAATTTGATCACTCATCATCGTTTTTTCTTCTAGAATTACACTTGAAATATATGTAAGATTGTGCTCTTCCAAAGCGTACATAAATCGAGCAGGGCCATGGTCAACACACTTTGCAGTCATGAGCTAGTGCACGATGCTCGCAAGTTGGCTGCGAAGTGAGTTATTATCAGGCTATGATCCAAGGCTAAAGGAGCGAAGCCTAGCTCATGTCACCAATGGGACGAGAACAAGCCATGCACTAGGCCCTTAGGTCACGAGGCGCTCGGCCGTTTTCAGATCGCACCAACAGGGCAGACAAAGTAATGAGGCATGCGCCAATCGGAGTAAGCCTACGGGAGCGACTTGATATTGGTTTGCACGTGCTCAATCGAGTGTGGCCAGCCTTTGGCGAGACTAACTATGCACATATGTTTTTGTTAGAATGGAAGTGTATGTTTTATCTTTCAGAAACAAATTGGCATTCAACCATTGCTTAAATAATGTAGAACATTATAATGATTTTTCCATACACAACATTGTCTAGATTTATTTGGCTAAGAAAGTACATGTGTATTCTCCATATTTAAATTGTGCATACTATACTTAGATTGAGTATTTAGGCAGTAAAATCTTCTCAGAGTATCTATTTGAGAAGTTTGTACAATTTATGGGTAATATAGTATATGACTCTTCTTATTGTTCCCAAAATCACATTATGATTGGGTTACCATGATTGCTAAGCAACTAAAAACATTAACCAGATGCCATAAGTCTATGCGAGTGTGAAGCTATCAACTTTTTTAGATACTAGCCATTGATCTACCGCGCACTTGGTGGCCTTTCTTCTTCTTTTGTTTCAGGCATGTTGGCATGTTGGTGCTGCTGCCTCAACAGACTTATCTTTATTTTCCTAGCACTTGAACTTATTGTATGAACTTGGGCCCTATTTGGTTCATAAGTCTTAGGACTTTTTTTAGTCCCAACTTATAAGTCTCAAGTCCCTAAAAAGTCCCTACATGTTTGGTTCCTAGGACTTATAAGTCCCTATAAGACCATATTACAACTATAAGTCCCTATAAGACTCTCTTTGAGAGTCTTATTTCATAAGTCCCAAATGCCTACTTTAAGTCCCTATAAGTCCCTCCTGTTTGGTTTAGATGGGACTTATAGGGACTTTTTTAAGTCCCTAAACCAATAAGTCCCTGGAAACAAACACCCTCTTGGTGTTTGTTTATATATATAAAAAACAGGGTGAAAATCTGTTTCGAGAGCTTTTAGATGCCGGAAGAGAGACAAAAATGTGAAACCAATCAAAAAACGAACAAAGAGCACAATCAGGGTATGGTCAACAGTGTAACATCCCATGCGCATGCAAGAAAAGTCTGTGAAGATTCCATGTATATGGTGTATATGCATGCATGCATGCACAGTGTGGTAGAAAGTGGTACAATTACAAACCTGGTTCCTGGACAGCCCCGTCTGCCTGGCCAACAGGTGCTTATCGGCGTCGCTTGGGTACCTACGCACGTTACGACGAAGCCACGACATCAGCAACAGCAAATACTCCATGCAAAATACAAAACGGACTGATCATTAAGGCTGCATGCACTCCTTCCTGCCGGCCTGCTGCCTCACTGCACAAGCAGCAGCAGCAGTGGCACCGAGCAGCAGGAACAGCACCACCACTGCGGGCAGCAGTGCACTGTTCAGCAATCATATACGAATTATACGTGCACTGCCCATATGAGCAACATATGCCTTGTTCTACCTACCTACGGATGCATGCATGCATGCACGCATAAACGGCAGGAGCCAAAAAGGAACGGGTTCCTAGATGAATATGCTCTGATCGATGGATCATCTTTTGATCTCTCGCGGAGTCGCAGAGCATGGCAATGGCGTCGTGCACGATCGTGCACAATCGCAGAGCAAACTTGTAAAGCAACTTATTAAGGGCTGGCAAGCTTGCCCATGCTAGCTGATGCTACATGCAGAAGCCAGAAAAGGCTCCAAGGAATGAAGCAGCAGGTGATGTCAGGGCAGGGGGCGCTATAGCTGAAGCCTTTGCGCGCGCGTGAAGAGCTTTTGAAAAAAGATGAGCAGAATTCCTGACAGCCAGTATCCAGCCCTGCTGCAGGCACTAAAAACGGGCAGGGGCAGTAAAACTGGGCTGGGGGGAAAGTTAAATTTCTGCAATCATGGGAAAGTAATCCGGGAGAGGCAAAAGGGAAGGAATATGCACAGTGCCCGGCATGGCGCCTGTCCCTGCCGGTTTTAGCGTGGATCTCGAAAAAAATTACTGCTTTCGCGAAAGCAGTGCAGCAGCGCATCAGCTAGCAGCGAACGAGAGAGAGGGAGAGGGAGAACAAAGCAGAAGCTGCCCGTGATGAGTGCAGTCCTTGTACGTAGTACCCGTACCATGTCGACGGACGGCATGCATTCGTCGACCCCATGCATACCTAGAGCATATTGCAAATTCCATGCCAGGCTAGCTATATCCTAGCCAGAGAAGAACAGTCGACTGGCCTCGGCTCAGCTGCATGGGCATGTACCGACGTAGGAGTAGTACGTACGGAGAGTTAATAATGGTACTCCGGCGAGAATTGGGATGATGGTACGTACGGGTGTAGGAAGTGCTCGAAGAGCCAGGAGCGGAGGATGCTGACGGAGCGCTCGGGGAGGCCGCGCTGGGGCCGCCACGCCTCCTGCTCCATCATGCCCATGTGGTGGAAGGCGCGCTGCTGCCGGAGGCTCTGGTCGATGGCGCGGAGCCGCGGTGTCTCCCCCTTGGTCAGCCCGGAGCTCGTGCCGGCGTCCTTCTCGCCCAGCAGCTCGCAGGTGTGCCGCAGCTGCGCGGCGATGGCGTCCTTGAGGCACCGGAAGTGCCGCGACATGGCCTTCTGCGCCAGCGCCGTGTAGGGCGTCGCCGCCCCGAACCCCATCACCGAGTCGAAGAAGTTCACCACCATCTGCATCTGGTCGCAGTAGTGGTTGTACCTCCGATCCACCTGTGGTACAAAACACGTACAATCTTTGAGCTAACTATAACCACACATTAATCCATCTTGAACTTCTGTAGATTAAATTAGAAAGAAGTAGGCATGCATTGGTCGTTTTACCCGATGGTAGGGATGAAAGTAAAAGAAAAGAAGAAAGAATAATAGTAGGCAGATCGACTAAGAGATTAGTAAGATGCATGCATGATCGTGGGTGGATTGTGAAGAAGAAAATTCAAAGTTACCAGACACGAAAGAAAGAAACAAACTTTGGGTGCGGGCAATTAAGACATGGGCATGGCGTGGCGTGTGTCGCTGGCACAATTATGAGCGGGAAATGGGTGGAAAGAACAAGCGGAGCCGAGGCCCACGGCCGTTTGGCAACAGCAAAGCCATGCGCAGAGGCATCTAACTTGCATGTGCCGATTTGTTCCTGTGCTGTGCTCGTGCTGTTGATCGCCGATCTCTCTTTCCAATTATGTAGCAGGAGTAGTAATATATAGTATCCGGGGACACATGTGAGCGCTACCTCTCGTACTTGCTCACTGTGCCAAATTCTAACAGCTCCCACACAAATCTACCTGAGCTAACGCATGCACCTATCCATCCATCTCCAGCCATTTTGTGTAATCCTTATTCTATATATATAACTAGCTACCCACATCGATCATAGATATATTTACTACTCGATTAGAATCATGAACTTTCACACACACTAGCTACTAAAGAGACTAGAGTAGTAGTGTACGATATTATATGAGAAAATTTGACGTGGTGACGTGACACAAATCATAGTCCAAATGCGTGTGTGGGGAAGGATGGAAATATAATAATACCAACGGGTGGCCGTACTCTCTTTCCCTTCGTGGGGGGAAGATATGGAAAGAGAGAGTCCATGCAAGCAAGCATAAAGAAATGGAGGCGATGAATGCCGCGGCAACAGCTGCTATCACGGCATTGCGGCACCAACAACCGCACAAAAAGAAAGAAATCGGATCGTGGGATGGATGGATGTTACTATGATTGGAGACTCATATCCCCCTTGGAGTTCGCGTCGTGACAATCCACCGAAAAGCTACCCCTGGCTGCCGCAGCCTGCGCTCGCTGCCATTGGCGGCCGCCTCGCTGTGCATGCCACGTCGTCCTGGTCCGAGTGAGTGAGTGACTGAGCTGGTGGTAAAAAAAAGACAGGAGCCAGTTCGTTCGTTCGTTGGTTCTGAAGCAGCTGGGCGGCCGTACTGGCTACCCAGCCCTACCGGCCAGCTACCTACTGTCTGTTGCACTTGCACCTACCTAAACTTTGCCGGCGCCATGCCGCCGCGCCGGCCGGAGCTACTGTTTGGACACCACCACCACCATGCATGCATGAGAAAGAGAGAGGGGGAGGGAGAAGTTTGCGTGTGTTTGTGGGTACGTGCCTCGTCGAGCATGGAGATGAGCTTGGCCTTCTTGCGCTGCTGCTCGAACCGGTCGGCGGGGGACAGCTGCGGGGGCTCCCTGGACGCCGACGATGGCGACTGGCCGGCGCCGGAGCTGGAGGGTCCGCCCTTGCTCGCGTTAGGGTTCGATGAGGAGCCGCCGGCGCCGCGCCCGCCTCCCTTGATCGTCTGCCCGCGGCCCACGCTGCAGAACTCGTCGAGGAGCTCCTGGGCCGCGCGCGTGTACTTGGAGTTGCGCAGCACGCCGGCGACCCCGGCGGGGCCGTATCCGACGTGGAGCTGCTGCCCCATCGCGCCGACCTGGCCGTGCAATGCCATCGGGAGCTGTTGCACCGACGGGGCCTGCTGCTGCTGCTGCTGCTGTCGGTTGAAGTAGAGCACGCCGTCTCTCACCCTTAGCTCCTCGGCCTGCTTCGCCATCTCCAGCTGCTGTAACGACGGCGATAGAGAGAGTGAGAGGCCCTGGCCTTCCACCACGCCGGCCCCGCCGCCGCCGAACGAACTCGCGGCGTTGCCGTACGCCTGGAACGCCTCGTGGTGCTGAATAGCCGACTGCGCGTCCGAAGGCGGAGGCGACGTCGGCGACGACCTTGACTGTTGCTGCTGCTGAGGGTTCATCAAGAAGAGCTGCATCGCGGCGGCCGGGTCGGTGGCGAGGCCCGCCATGCCGCCTTGTTGCTTCGGCGAGGACGTCTCACCTAATAAGTTTGCCCCGCCGAGGACCACGCCAGCGCGGCCAGGCCCGCCGCTGCCGAACCAACCGCCGTCGCCAGGCAAGCCGGCTACTACCGCTCCCGGCGCCTGCTGCCGGAACCCGAAGCGGTAGTTGGCGTTCATCTGGCTGGCCAGCAGCTCGGTGGCGGATGGCCCCGACGGCGTCTGGGCGGAGAAGTTGAACATCTCGGCGAGCATGTTGGAGGCGCCGGCGGCCGCGGCGTGGTCGTACATGGCGCCGGGCTCGACGTGCTCGTCGCCATCGATGGGGAGCAGCCCGTGGGCAGCGGCGGCGGCCGGGTCGAAGCCCTGGACCCTCATCTTGTCGCGTCGGCTCTGCTGCGCCACGTGGTGCTGCTGCTCTTGCTGCTGGTCGTGGTCCTGGCTGGATCCCGGGCGGTCGAAGCCATCCGAGGAGAAGCCGTAGACGCCGCTGCTGCCCTGGTGGAATCCCTGGGAGTGGGACATAGAACTCGCCGTGGCCGGCCGGCCGCCGTAGATCGCCGCACTGCTCTTGGGTGTGCTGCTCACGTGCTGCGTGGTCGCCTGACACGGTGGCGCCGCTATTCCCATACCGGCGGCGCCACTGTCATCATCGTCGTCGCCGGCGCCAAGAAAAATCCCCTTCTCCCGCAGCGACCTGAGGCAAGTTCATCGGCAACAACCGCGCGCGGCATCAGAAAAAGGAAAAAAGAACCCAACAAAGAAAAAGAGATTAAGAATCCAAAACCACAGAAAAGAACTTCAATCAAACAAAAACAAAAAAGATCTCAATCTCTTTCCCAAGCTCCACAGCACGCAATCGAATTACGGATGAACAGCACGATCGAATCGACGCGCTGGCTAGCAAGCTATCAAGCTATAGCTAGCAAATACGGCTCAGCTTTTGCGTTTCACTCACCTAAGATGAGGAGGAGCACATCGTTATCTTGTCGAGGGAGTGAAAGGCTTGCCTCCGAGAGACCTCCTCTCCATCTCTGTCTCCGCTTGTCTCCCTCCCTCTCGAAATCTCTTTATCTCCCTCTCTCTCTCTCTCTCTCTCTCTCTCTCTCTGGTGTGAGTGACTATCTCTATATTTTTTTCCCTTGTCCGGTCGGGCGCAGCAGCAGTTCTTGGTCGCCCTGTGCAATCGCCTTCTGAAAGGGAAGAGCGACGCAAAGGGGGAGGGCGGGGAGGCTAATATACAGCCCGGCCGGTGCACCTCGCATATATAAAAAAAAAGAGCTGCTGCTGCTCTGCTGCTGATCCCTCCTGCCGCCGCCGCTGCTCCGCTGCTGCTGCGGATGATATGTATCGGAATTGGACAGAGCCCGAAGTTAAGGGGAGCGCTGGCTCTTAGGAAAACGTCGCTGTTGTTGCTCTCTCTCCTTTGGTATCCCCCCCTCCCCTTTTTATTCTTTCTTTCCTTGCGCGTTTAATAATCAGCGTCGTTGTTGTGCTTGTGGTTAAGTTATTATTTGCTGGTGCTGCTGATGTCGTACCCTTGTTTTTATTTGTCTCCCTCCCCTTGCTTTCTCCCCTCCACCCTTTTCCCACTCTCTACTACCACCGTCTTACCACTCCTGCATCCGTTTCAGCATCAACTAATTATGTATGAAGAAAGCAGTGTCGAAAATGTTCTTATATTACCAAAAAAGGGTTTCCTTCCGTTTTGTATTCCAAAGCAACCAACATCGAGTACAGATAACGCTGTGGCGAGCAGCACAACACACCAAGAAAAAGAGAAGAAGAAACAAATGCCAACCACGGCAGCTCCGCAAAGCGCAGATGACCCGCCACCGCGGCGCCCACCGAAGACAAATTACCACAGACCGAGGCTCCGATCCGCCGCGTATCAAGCAGCACCTCCAAGAAGGAATGCGACGCCGACGACGCTGCTGCCAGGACGAGTCCTCAGGTTTCCCGGGCACGCGGAGGGAGGTGGGGGGTGAATACCACCGACACCCATCAGGAAGGAATGGTGGCACCCGCATGTGTCACCGCGTCGGGGCCGAAGCCGGCAGGGATTTCTCCCGCATTCCAACCCCCAACCGCCCAACCGGACGGAACCGACCCGCCAAACCGTCGACCATCGCCATGCGCCAACGCAGTAGCGCCGCCACCACGCCACCTCACTACGAACACCACCACGAGGCCAAGAGGACCGGAGAAAGGCTCACCACGACGGGAGCAGCAGCATCGACGCCGAGGAAGTAGTTGATAATATACTTGTGCAGACATGTGACCTAGAAAATGCAAGTAAAATTATGGCTTCATGTATCGTCATGTTACGATATAACATCGGTATCTAGATGACGGACGGATGTTCATGGAGGATGTGTTTTGCATTATCCGGCAGAAGAAATAAATTGGCCTAAAGTAGAGAGGGTGTGGGGGATTGGATGGGAAAAGAAAGAAAGCGAGGAGGCTGGAGGAGTCCCTCTCCGTGTCTTTCCAGCCTTTTCTTTTTCATTTCGAAATTGACCAGCACTTGAAAGGCCCGGGGCCAGGAAGCAAATTGACCCATGCCTGGCAAATTCCGAGACTTTTTTCATGCGCCTTAAACGGGCGCCCGCAGCACGTCCGTCACATTCGGCTCCTCCTTTATTTTTTGGAGATTGGAGATAAATTTAAAAAGACAGGAAAAGGAGTGTAGCCTAGCCACAGCTGAATTTTTGGTGGGTGCAACCCTCCCGTCCCTCTCTATTTTTTGTTCTTTTATTTTTTCTTTTTCTCCAGCGGATCGACGTGGACGAACGTACACCCTCGATCTGCTGTTTCAGTTCACAATGTTTCATGTGCATCGCATGCCGGCCTAATTAATCCATCTCCCTAACAGCCCGTACTGGTTGATTAATTAATTAGCTAAACCGGTAGGAGTACTATTTTTTATTGCTCGTGTCCGTGTTGACCCGACGGACTTGCTAAACTTGAGCTTGATTTTTTTTTTGGTGGGAAAGAGCTTTGATTTTTGTTGCGTTAACAGTGGGGCAATTAAGAGGCAGTTTTTTTTTTGAGGAAGCAATTAAGAGGCAGTTGGGAAAGAGAGACGAAGAGCAAGACACATAACGGAGTAGGAGGCCATATTTGTCCCGGCCGTCTCTGACTTTTCTCCATGGCAGGACCAAGAGCAAGCTGATGAACCGGGGGGCAGGTTAGTCATTTTAATTAGGGGGCTTAAAAGAGAAGAGAGGATGAGGTGGCCGGCGCGGGCCGTGGAGGCTGGGCCTGGTTGGAGGCTTGCTCGCGCGCGCGCGCGTGCCTTTGCTGGCGTGTCTTTATCGGGCCGCCGCGGCCGTCGGATGGGGATCGTGCGGCCGCCGCGTGGTGGTCCAGCCGCGGGATAGCGGCCACGGGCGGGCCTTGTCGGCCGCTGGGAGCGGGTGAGCGAGGCGAGGCGAGGCGCCCGTTTCTTCTTCCTCGCTTCGCTTCCAGTGGCGTCCCGATCAATTATTGGGCCGCTGTGATTTGGACCCGGCACCAACTCGATCCTAGTCTCGCACAGTGATGATCATGCAGTGCAGCCATCTCCCTCCCCCGTGGGCCCCCGCGGAAAAGATGTCCCGCTCGCGCTCTCTCTCGCGCGCGCAAGCGCAAACCATTGGCTTGCATGCATGCTCCACCATGGCCATGGCTAGGCTAGGCTAGCTCGACCCAACCCAACGACCAGCTTAGGCCTCCGATTAGAGAGAGAATCGCTCGTAATCTTCAAATGGAGAGCGCTTTTTGCTTATTCCTCTTTCTCCTCGGCCTTGACACGGGGACCTCACTCCTGTTACTTTCTTTCCTTTCTTTCTTTTCTTTCTCTTCTCACGTTGCTTTTTCCTGATTCCTCTCTCCGGATGGGTCGACGACGATCCTGCAATATAAACGCGGATGCTTGACTTCTGGAAAGCAGCGTGCATGGTGCAATACAGTCTTGTACACTCGCAATGTTTCTTGCAGCAGATAGGAATTTATTCATGAGATTGTGTATATAAGTAAGCATGCATGATGCCAGACAATTACACTAATGATTGGCCTGAAACTGGGATCAGCGGTGACAATATGTTGCCTTGACACTCTAATTAAAAATCGGTTCACCTTTTTAGTACCAACATGAACTGCTCACCAATGAGGGATGGTGACTACAACAACTACTAACTACTGAGGTGCGATATATGTCTTGTCCAAAGAGGCAGGCAGAAGAACACAGTAAGGTTGAAATGTCACGAATCCGATCAAAGCCCCTGAAGCGGACGCCTCTGAAGGTTAAACTGTAGCTGGATCGCTGGAGGTATGATGGTTTTTGTGGTTGACCCTGCCTGCAGATGGAGGGAAGGAAAACAGACGGATAGGATAGATTCTGTCTGTGAAATGGGCAGCCAGTCAGGGTAGGTCCAATCAGCTGGGCATCTATGAATGGCAGTTTGAGGATTCATTTAAGGAGGAGAGAGATCGATCTATTCCTAGCTGAAAGTTACTAGTAAAAGGCAACAGTGTATGTAGCTTGATGGGGGCAGTGGGAGGGGAGGAGCCGCTCCGTCGAATGAGATGCCCTCCCGGCATGGGCAGACATTCTGAACCAAGTACCACTCGCTCGCTACTCTACACGGATCGATTGGTACACATCTGGAGCCTAGCTAGCTTCAGCTGATGTTTACCATCTACCTGGTTGACTTGAACTTGAGGGTGCCGTCACGTCTATCAGAGGTTTCCTTCTGTTTATACCAATATAAAAACTCACATCATGCGATGATTAAAAAAATGAACAGGGGTCGATCTCACCAACACAAAGCCATTCATTCATTCACAAGCTGACGCCTAGCTAGGAACTATACTATATAAAATGTACTTGGGAATTATAAGATGGCAGGAGTTCATATGCTTTTTTTTATCGGAACAACAGCAGATTGTGACGTGTACTTTTCTCTCTCACCCAACAATTTTGCCGAGAAAAATGGCGAGGAAGAAATGGAGAGAAGAGAGGAGGAGGAAGAGGACCACAGCGCCAACAGCATCCAAGAGCGTTGCCCACCACTGTCCTTTGGGCATCATCTAGGCCGCGCCGGTCACGTGAGGACCCACGTGCGCGTATAGGCCGGACGGGCCTCCATCGCCTCAGCTCTGCCTGTTCTTTCAAGCAACCAATTAACCTGCCCCTTAATCAAGCTTGGCGTTGGCGTTGGTCAGCTTGGCCACCACTCGCTCACCTGATATTCCCGGCTTTAGACGGCGTCCAGCTTCACAAAACGGGCCCCGGCCAGAAATTGAGAGCTCGATCCAAAATCGCACATGCGCTGTAGACTAAGGGCATCTCCAGCCGTTGGCCTCTCAGGAGGGGCAAAAAATCGCCCCCAGAGGGCGCACCGGCGCTAAACCGCGCACTGGGGGCGTGATACCCCCAGTCGCGGCGCCCACGGTTAGTCAAAAAAATCAAACACGACGCAAAAACGACTCAAATTTAACGCAAACATCGGTGAGTTCATTCAAACTTAAACATATTTTACAAAAAAAAAACTACCGCGGGCTACCCCCACCGTCTCCCTCGCCGCCCGCCCACGCGGTTCTACATGCCGAGGAGGCGGTAGAACCGCGTGTAGTCACCGCCGTCGTCGTCATCATCGTCGTCGTCGTCGTCGTCATCATCGTCGTCGTCGTCGTCGTCGCCGCCGCCTCCGCCGTCCCTGCTGCATCCCTCCCCCGGTTGGCGCGGCGGGTTGGACGGTCCGGGGGCGGCGTCGTCGTTGTCGTCGCTGTCGAGGACCACGACGCCGTGCTCGTCCTCGCGCCCACGCTTGCGGGTGGCGATCTCCTCCAGGGCACGGCGCTGCCGGACCATCTCGTCGCGGAGGTAGTCGTCCCGCGCCCATCGCATGGCGTCCTCGTCGGAGAAGCCGCGCCGGGCTATCTCCTCGTACTCCGCGGGGAGGACGGGCT